ATTTACATACGTATTAATTAAATTATTATATCATTATTAATTCTAATAGATAACAGGAAATCTGTGTATTTATACACATTAAAATTCAATTTAATCGTATGATTTTAATTATTCAACCCTCTCAAATATTGTGATAATCACGGAAAATATTAAAATCGATACGAGAGAAAAAATATCTCGATAAGACATCGATAGGTAGTCCATTTCGGTAAGGTACACTTCGATAGTTTGCTATACGCTTTCATATACAGTGCACGTATGCGAGAGAACTGCATTGCGATATTAAAATGAAATGTTAAAATCTAGAAAAAGTACACGTTTAAATTTTTCTTTGTGTATAGAATGAATATTATATCCCGAATAGAACTATGGTCTATTTGTAGAATTGATGAATCGAAGGAAAAATATTTATTTCGACGATTCATCCATTAGAAAGATGAAAACATGTAACTATACTTGATAAATATTTTGATATTTTCGATAGAAGGGATAGAAAATTCTTAACTGAATACATAAAATTTAAAAACATTTGAAAAAGAAACGCATATATATTAAATCGCAACATTCTCAATGGAGTGAAATTCTTATCACCCTTTTCTATCAATAGTATAACACGAAAAATTATCAGGATGCATAGTTATCTATTTGTTTACGAACTCAAGCCAACAAACGTGATTTCTATCGCATTCAGTTTTTATTTTATGATCATGAATATGTGATATAGTGGTATATTCTTTTGCTATATCTATTCAAAGCACACAGTATTAATATAGTGTTTGACATAATACATTACGAAATTAATTTTGTATATGCATTGATAACAACGTATTTAGTGATATGCTTCTTGCACATTATGTTCACCGTTTTTTGTACAACAAAGTAAACAAGTGACAAGAGAATCAAGTTATATAGATTTCAATTTCTATAGCATAAATAATGTAGATGTGATGAGTTTGTTTCTAACATAGTTAAAATTATGTTTTCATAAAACTAAATACAGTTTACTAATTAACAACAATGAATGAAATGAACACAACAAGTGCTGTAAATTCTGTAACAACCAGCACGCTGTTTGACAGTATTAAAAATTTTACCACCACCATGGCAAGTAACATATCAAATGAAACATCTGAAGCATACATGTATTCTACAGAAGAAAATGGAACTACTCAACAATTATGGAATGTTTCTAAGGCTATAACATCATTGCCTAATAGTTCATTAGTTTCTTTTGAAACTTCAAGCACCAATATATACATGTCTACAACAACAGAAGTTTTTGATGAATTTGGCCCACCAGATGGAATAGAATATATTTTTGTACCACTTGGTGTAGTGGTTTTTGTTATTGTATTATCAGCTGTGGTATGGGTAGTGATATCACTTTTGTATTTAAATCATAATCTTCTTCTAACTTACATTTGCAGAAATAAAAAAATAAAATCAAAATATTCAGCAAATTATAATGGATTAATATTTCTACATTAGGTATTATTACCTTTTCGTAGTATAGTTTGTTTGTTCGTCAGTTGATGTTATAATGAATACAAAATTTTGTTACTTTACTAGCTTTTCCTATTAAAAGTAAATTCTTTTATCCTTAAAAGTTAGATGATTTTTTAGTACTCAACACAATGCAAATGTTTTAACAATATATATATATACTTTTAAAGGTAATAATTATCTCAAGAAAAAGAAAATTGGAACGTTTAAGACACAGACTTATGCCAATGTATAACTTTGATCCTGGAGAAGAAGAAGAAGATGACTGGGAAACTGAACTATTGGAAGAATGTTATAATAATCATCAGAGACGTGTATCAGCAAGGATATCAATCCATGGATACAGAAGAAAATGCTGAACTCTTTGGAAATCATTGACAAAGCATTTATGATAGTCTTTTAAAAACTTTGTATTATCTACAACTGTCGTAGATTAAAAATCACAGTATTAGATTTATATATTTATTTCATGTTTGAATAGTTTGTATATATCTCTCAATTCAAAGGATAAAATCCAAGTTCATAAGTTTTATATTCAAAAAGATATTTCGAAACATGTTCAAGTATTAGAATTGATTTATTATAAAAATTTCATGATAATATAATGATAAATTTACTTTACTTGTTTCAATATGACAATATCCATAAAATGGATTTATGCTTAACAATTTCATGATAGAAAGATAAAGAGATTAAAATGACTGACTTCATTTTATCATTAGTGTTCATTGTATACTGTTCATAACAGTTTTTCATAAATGTAAAATTAGTTCTATGTGCTACAATTGCAATTATGTATATTTTTTTTTCCTTTCCTTTGAAGATATATTAATGAAATCAAATCTTAACCATGCAATTGAAAGTTACACTTTTATATCACTAAACATTCAAATTTTGTTTTGCTTGTATCGAATATTCAAGTTTAACTTTAGAGAGTAAGAAAGTAGGTGATCAATGTACAACAAGAAAGTAACACATTTTCAAGTATTATCAAATATTTCTTTCCAACCAAGTAGTTACTATAAAGAAATACTATCTAATAATCTTTATTGTTAAATTTCGGTTTTCTACTTTAATTATTTACACGATAGTATTAAAGGGTTACAAATTAAATAGTATTAAATTAAGTATTTAACTTATAATTTTTAAGATTCCAATTAAAAATTCATCAAAATGTGTTTATAGCATTGTAATCTAGTAAACAAACTCAGAAGTACAATTTTAACTAGAATATAAAGTGTATTATTAATGAAAAATATGTGTATATAATACAACAATTAATAAGAGAGTCATTTAATAAGTTTATTTACTTTAATACAAATTGGACATTCACACATATGCTTGTTTCAAAGACGTTGGTAATGTTCCTTTGTTCAAAATTAAAAAAGAATATTCCTTATACATGATACACACAAGAAGTACTTTACCCTTTTTTTCTATTTCTTACAGTATTAGATCTGTATGAAGTTTTTGGCTTTATGAATTACAATACAAAATACACTGGAGCAAAAGAAGTAACACATATGTATATGATGTAATTATACACCATACACCTTACAGTTAACCAAAGTCTTCTTATTAATTCCAAGTCAGTTTATGAGATCTGAATCTTTAAATTAAAAAATTTTTTTTATTAAGTTACTTACACATTTCATTTTGATACTTAAAACATAATAATTATAATAGTAATAAAAACGTATGAAGTAAATACTATGAAGAAATATTCTACAAATTTTCAACCCAAATCTCTGTGCATTTCTTTCCTTTTCTGCAGATATAGGAATTATAAATTATATTTTCATACACCTTCCTTGGAACTTATGTTACCACTTTACTATTTTAATCTGTAGATTATGATATAAAAAGCAAACTTAAAAGTTTTAAATTTATCAGAATTTTAAAAACTTTCAAAGAACAATTCTGATACATTGAATTTATTTTTTTACATTCAATTCTCATCCTCTTCCTCTTCTTCCTCCTCTTGATCGTCTTCTTCTTCTTCACCAGTACTTTCTGGTTTCTCTTCTTTCTTTTTAGGTCTACCACGACCTCGTCCTGAAGGAGTTCCTTTAGGTGAACCTTGCTAAAAATGCATACATATTTTTAAACTCAATCTTCTTACTAGCTTTTATATTATAAATAAACTACTAGTCATTTTATTACAAATAAATAATGTTTCTTAGTTATTAATCAATACAGTAAAACAAGGAAATAATGCTTATCAATGATTTTTATAAAGGATCTACTTTTCTCTGATAATGAATATGTTTCTTAATTTAGCCATTTCTCATATTTTGGCTTTCAATAAGAATTGAGAAAATTAAAATATTAATTAACTCAAACCTTTTTTTTATGAGAACCTTTTGGCCTTCCTCTGCCTTTTTTGACTGGTACAGGCGATGCATCATCTTCAGTATCAGATTTTGCAGAACGTACTGCATTATTTTTATCTACAGAAGATCTACCTCTTTTTTTAGATTCTTTCACAGCATTTTTATCTGTTTTTGATGGTCTACCCCGCTTTTTCTTTTGTTCTTCAACAACAGGTGAATTATCGTCTGACATTATTAATATTTTATACCACTGCACAATTAAAAAAACAATATTTGTTAGAATATAAATATTAAGTTAAGCATGCAAAACATTTCATAACATAAAGAGGTTTATGTTATACAGTAATTTTATAACTATTAAGTTATAATGTGAAATTTTACAGATTGTTTACAGAAGGAAATTAAAAAAAAAGGGTAAAAAATGAAAATAATTTTGTAAGTATAAAACAAGCATACTCGTAAATAATTAAAAATATGTATTTCTTATAAATAAATGTGTGAATCTTAGCTGCAAGCTTCAATCTCACATTATTATAATACTTTGAAATCGTATGCGAAATATAAACACTCCTATGGGGGAAAATATGGAAAGTATTGTATGGTTATCGATTTTCAAACTTTCTCATAAAAGTTGTTTAATTTCAATTTCCAACAGCAATATGATAACCCTAGAGACAAATCTACACGTTTTGTTGCAAATTGTTAAAAAAAGAATTAGCAATACTAATTGTGTTTCGTAAAGTACAACAAATTACGCGCCTAATGCATTCATATTGAATATCGTTAAGCGGCAGTTTCGCGACCAGTTAATTGCGATCGAACACAATAATTATGCATAACTAAAAACACCTAAAATTTTAATGTACATGTATATAAATAAAATATTACTACTTATAAC